TCTAATTTACCTATTATCAACACCCCGCACTTAAATCTTTGCTCGTCCTCGAGCAAGTTGAACCACACTTATAGGCCTAATCGTTTGATGCATTACCCTATTTATGTCACACCCGCCATTATGAAAGAACAACCTAAGCAGTGCAACAGCCACACCTCAGGTGAAGACTCTAATGCCATGCCACACTCGTGCTTACTCTATGTACTCTAAACAGAGGTAAAGACTTGCTTTTTCTTCCTGAGTTAAATGCCCTCACATCACATTTTTGAGAGAAGTTCCACACACATAAAATCAAACAACAAAGAACTATAGATAGAACGAGTTCAATCACTCTCAGCATAGAACATTCACATGCCACACAGATACACCATAAGCTTGCACTTAGTGTAATACTCTACTAATCGAGTTGTTCAGTCTAAGATCAATAGGGCTTCATTTGGTTGGTATAGTGACTAAACTCCCTAAGCACTTTTAATACAATAGTTCCCCTTATTCCAATTTCCATGTTCATCCCAGTCATTCTTCCATACTTATTTCATAAGCTACCCCCCACTTTTCCTAGGTGCAACTGGCTTTTTCTTGCCATTCAATATTTTAGGACCACCTATTTACAAGGTCCTTCTTCTATTATTCAATTTTTTTTTTAAGAACCATTGCACCATTCAAGTATTTTCCTGATTTTCCTTCTCCCACTCTATTACCACCCCACACTTTGACCTTTATATGATCTTTAACGATTCAAGTGCTTCTAAGAGGTAAAGGTTCAAAAAGTCAAGCTATTCAAACACAGGGATGTAGGTTATTGTAAGGTTATCAAAGAAACAGGCTTCAGGCTCGAAGGGGTTAACTATGGTAATATGTACAAGTGGATTCATAATTATATAGGCTACACAAAGAAATGCCTAAATCATCTCTAAGACCAAACAACTTCTATTCGCTTTGTACACACACAGGGCAAGTTCTAGGTATCGCATGCAAGCACAGAATACATGTATTACCTCACACACACTTGGCATGTAACTCATTCCGAATTAGTTTGTCAACACACTCACGTGAGCGTTCAAGTAAGACAAGGTGTGCAAAATTAAGGCATAAGATTAAGAGTCTACAAGTGAACCTAGACGTCGCACCCCCAAGTTCGTTTTAGTTATTTGCAGGTATGTACACTACGGGATGCATTCTTGCCCTCACCCATCTTAGCCCAAGAGAGTCCTAAGGGCCCTAAAAAAATATTAAAGAAAAATCTACCTAACCCGGTTCAAGAAAAGCCCTTGGAAAAGAACTGTGGTCAAAAGAAAAACCAAGGGGGAATTACTACACTACCTAAAAAGAAAATAAAAAAAATCTTTTTGCCTTTTTTTGTTTTTTTAGATTAGACTACTTTCCTCAAGAATACTGTCTAAGTGGTCCATCATCAGGAAAAGTCCAATCTTTAAAAAAAATTATTTAATTAAACCAACACAGCTAAAGTAGCATGAAAAGTCACCCAGACAATCCTCACCCCACACTTAAAATTGTGCATTGTCCCCAATGCACATCCATACATACAAGAGGGTAAAAGAAACTCCCTGGTAGGCCAAAGGCCGAAGCACTAGCAGTTCATGGGGTACTCAGACTTCTCCCAAGCTTGGTCCTTCGTGTGGGTACCTCACACTTAGTTCCAACCATTTGGTTTGCTGTTGCATCCTTCCAATACCTTTAATTTCCATGCTCCTAGAAAATAAAAAATTGACACTACAAAAATAATACAATTAAAAAAAATTTAAAAAAAAAATAATAAAGTTGGGTTGCCTCCCAACAAGCGTTTGATTTAACGTCGCGGCACGACGCGAATCACTTTTTGCCTCCACCTCGAGCTTATGAATTGAACCCTAAGTTTTGATTCAAGCTTATGATTATGGTCATGGGGCGGTGGAACGAATCTAACTGGCCCAAGGAAATAATGTAGTATTCTGCACTCCTTGGCCTTTGTATGAGGTATGTAATCCTGACTTTCTGGCAAGAAGAATTCCAGAATATATGCACCTTGTTCCTCATTTCTTGACTCTTCGATTGGTTCAGATGACTCTATTTCCATATCATCATCCAAACATAATGTGGAAAAATGCTTGGAGTGTGGACCAATGCGTTCAAACACATGAACTTCAGGATTTTCAACATCCTCATCATCAATGATACTAGAGTCAACAAAATTTGTATCCTCAATGTCCTTGGCTGACTCTAGTCTCACTTCTTCAACATTGACATCCTCAAATTGTAGTTGGCTAGGTTGTTGATGTTCTACTCTGACCTCCCCAATTAACATCTCAAATTCATGCTCTTCTTGGCTACTATCCTCAATATTGGCTTGTTGAGCATTAAAAGCTCCAACCACTTGACTCAATTGAGCCTCCAACTTGCGAATAGTTTCCTCTTGCCTTTCTATGTGCAATTGTTTCTCATTGTTTTGTTCCATAAGGCACTTTAGCATATCCTTGATCTCCTTCAGGTCCGCATTCCCAGGTTCTTTGTTCCTATTAACTTCACAAGAAAAGGTAGAACCATCATAGTAAGGGGTTGGGGGAAAATAAGAAATATAAGCACAACCATGAAGGTGATAATTTTTACCACCACACACATTCCATAAATAAGATTGAGTTGGTGCACATAACTCGCTCTTAGGAACGTTTTGAAAATTTTGCCACGGGTGGTTTCCTTCACAATATGTATAGAGATCAATACTAGAATTATCTACACCTAAATTGCCATAATTCCAAGATGTCATGTTTCTCAAATCAACAGTTATAAAAAAAATACAAAAAAATAAAAGTTCAAACTTGAACCCTAGCAATATATACAGCTACAACTACACCGTTAGTTCCCCGACAACGGCGCCAAAATTTGATCACGCCCAACTCTAGTCCTAAAAAGGATAAGCGGTCGCTGCAAATATAATCCGGTCTAAAAGTCCGGAGTCGAATCCCACAGAGAACTAAGGCTTAGTTGTATCTGTTTAATATCACCAAGAAGACAAGATTGAAAATAAATAAATAGCTGAAAACTAACTATGCTTGAATTGCAAACAATTGGAATAAAGGTCTAAGGTAATGGTTTCCCCCGTTATTGATTTTCTTGGTTGTATATTTCTTATAGTTGTGACTTAGTTGTCTCTATCAATCATGAACTCTCCAGCTACTATAAATCTCTCTCAAGCAATTATGATAATTTACTAGACGCACTCTCTCAAGCTACGCTAGCTAGATTCGCATTACAGTTCACTTAGATTGCACCCGGGGTATTGTTATCTCTAATCCAACCTCTAAACCCTCGATTATGACTCTACTCTATACTCCGGGAGTGATGTTGTTCAAACAACTACCTAAATATGCACTTTCTCTCAAGTAGATACATAATAAATAGGCACAGCTAATTGAGGGCCCTTCAATCAACTACAACAAGAATGTAGTTGAACAAATAGAGATTAACAACCAATCAAAACTATATTAACATCACAATAAATTCATCCCCAACGGGTTCCACCAAAACCTTAGGTTAGAAAAGTTAGCTACTCATGAAAATAACAAAAGTCACAAAAGAATTCATATTCAAAGGTAAAAGAACAAAGAAGAAGATTAAAGATTGATGCCCAATGATCCTCCTTGCCTCTTGCCCTTCCTTCTGATGTTTTTCACTTCCAAAAATCATTCTCCTTTTCTTGGCTGTCTTCCTTCGTTTAATATAGGGTTTAGGGCTTAAAATCCCGTGTTTTGCACTTTGGTCCCTGAAATTTACGCGTCCTGCCGCGGTCCTACCACGGTTACGCCAGGACCGCGGCTAGAGTGGCCTTCAGAATCTGCAGCAGTGTTCTGCCGCGGTCCTACCGCGGTTACCCCCGGACAGCGGCAGACCAGCTTCAGTTCTGGTTTTGTCCCTTCGCTTGGTGCACTTTGTGGATATTGTATGATTGGCCTCCTTTTCTCCGTAATTGATCCCAAAAGCACTCCACAGACTTCTTTTATTGGTTATAGCCTGCAAAGCATGAAAAGCACTAATCAGAGCATTTTGTTATCACTTTTTACCGTAAAAGCTATACAAAAATGTGGTTCTTTAGGGCCTAATTATAGTCTAATTTACCTATTATCAGGGATACATTGAAATAATGAAAAAAAGACAGTGAATACAATAAAATACATGGAATACAGCGAGATACATTGAATTACAATGAATACAATTAAATACATGAAAATATAGCGTGTTACGTTGAAAATATATTGAAATATATTAACAGAAAATCAAGTTGCTCAGCCCCAAACTCCGTCGTCTTTGTTCAAGAACGAACCCTAATTTCCGGCGAATCCGCCGTCGAGCAAAAACCCTTTTGTTGTGCGCGCCGATCGAAAAAACAATATATTCCTCAAAACAAATCCCACAATTCACATTATCAGAATCCAAACACTTAGTTTCTTCTTTCTCCAATATTAACATATCTATAGCTTTCAAACAACAACAAAAAAGAAGGGAGAAGAAAGAAAATAAGAAAAAGAGAAGAAGAGGGAAGTTGAAATAGTGTCTGAAGTTTGCTCAAATTGGGTATACATTAAAAAATTTAAGAGAAAGCAATGTCCGATGGAATTGGAGAAATTGGGGTCGGAGAGAACGTAGGTGATGTGGGTGAGAGGAATTTTGAGATTGAGCATCGTGTTTTCAGGGAATGGGGAAGAGAATGACATGTATCAAAGTAGAGATAGAAAGAAAATAGTGTAACTAAATAGCGTATTTAGTGGCTTAGGGGTAGGAGTTAACCAAAATTAAATATTTTGCTATAACATTAAAAGGTATCTATAAAATATAATTTTTTTAAACGGTATTTATTTAAAATAAATAAGGTGTTAACCTTTGCTATAGGAGGTAAAAATTCCTTCTATCTACTTTCCATATTATTTTCCTTCTAGATTGCTTTGTTTTTATTATTTTCCTTTCCTTATTTTTAGTTATTGATTGGAATAGGGATATGAGTTACAAATACTTGACGGACTCGTTCTTAAGGTGAATGGTGAATGGATAATAACGGCACGGCGCTGCACTTTTAAATAAAGCTGGAGGCAACGGTCCTATGTACAACTCGGAGCAAAGGCTAGCTAGCTTGCTCAATGGGAGATACTCACAGATCCATCACCGTTCGGCTGAAAAGAGAAGACTGTAAGCGCACAAAACATGACTCTGCTTTCTCCGATTGGAAGGTTCGATCAAAACTTCTCCACTTTTTGTTCCGATAATTGCACGTTCGCTAGCTTTCAGACTTAAATTCAGATCTAGAGCTGTCTCTAGTTGTTTGGATTGGAGTAGTGCTGCAGTTTTTGCTGATTAGGTAATTTAGTAGAGCTGTAGTTAAGAATTTGATGTTAAGAATGACAACCATTTGGCCAGATAAGTCAAATTCATCACAGAATTTGCTGTTAAAAATACAACCAATCGGGCAGATAAGTCATCACAGAAGATAAATGAAGAAATTTGCGTCAAAAATATATTTAAAAAAAGAATCTATATTGTCGGAGAATATGTGATAAAGCTCAAATCTTTTCTCCAATATGAGAAGAAAACGAATTGTAGGAAGGTATATTAGCAACTTAACTCTAGTTCTTCTGATTGGCTCATTCTTATTCATTGCGAGTATTATTGCCAGATTCTAATTGGGCCTAATGATTGGACGGATTATTTATTGAGGAAGGAAGGAGCAGAGAAATATAGGACTCAGAACCTGCCAAACTGCACTTCGTGCTCTGGAGTTTATGAGCTGGGAATAGCTGTGACACGACACCAAGCTGGGCGAGAGGCTAGCAGACTTGACCCTGATTATATTGTTCCTGTATATGTTGGAAAATCTGACAATGTTAGGACTAGGCTACAGCGGTATGGCCGTGAAGGCGCTCATTTAGAGAATGGCTGCTCCAATAGTGCACTGCACGACCAAGTAAATGTATCTGCTTCAAAGAGAGCAGGATTGTTTACAGAAGCATTCTCAAGAGGCTTCTCTATCGTTTATAGGTGGGCACCTGTAAGTACATATTTCTCCTATCTACAACTTTAAGCTACTTGCAAATGTTGTTAATTTGTAATTTCCTCCTCAAGATATAGAAATGCATCAGGGTGTTGCTCCGCTCATTCATTCAAATAGCAAGTAATGCTAGTTTCCTTTTTTTTTTTGGTGGGGAGGGGGGAGGGGAGGTTTAAATGTGAAGCTAGATATTTTAATTTTGCGCTTCCTTTTTCTTTGCAAAATTTCAATTAGAAGTTACTTGTTGTCCAGTCAATTTGACATTCAGATTAAAGCTCTCCTAGTTTTACTCTGTTATCTTTTGGGGAATTATTATTATTATGAGGTTATCTTACTAAGCTCTAGAGTCTAGATAACAACAGTACTAGTAGACCATGTTGAGTTTTCTGTTTCAGCATTTCATTTTTGTTCCATTCTTTGAAGAATCATTGTGAGCTGTCTGCCAGGCATTTGTTTGCATAGTTAAGCATGTTAAAGGTTGAAAGTAATTACACGCTCTATTGACTTGTACCAGAAAATACTTCAGTTACTGATGGATTTTGGTAACGTTTCCTAATATTTAACAGATGAATGACAACAAAGACGCTGAGAAAACTGAAGCCCAGCTGCTCGATAGATTTGACTATGCTTGGAATAAAGGCAGTAATGGCGTACGTTGCCACAATGATGTCCTCCGCAAACTTGATGGCGTTTCAAGAGCAACTCGTCTTCCTGCTTTTGTCAGGAAGCTTCAATTGTCCCTTGAGAAACAAAAAGGTGTCAGAATCCAAGCTTGCAAGCCCCTTCTGTTGGAGAACGGAGATGATTTTCATGATACCTTCAAAAGCACTTATTTCCTTCCCGAAATCGTCAAATTTGGTCGATCACAGCCAAGAATAGTTTCACTAAGTTCCTGTGTAAATAATGATCCAAATAATATTTGTGGTGTGGCTTTGGGTCATGGATCTGTTTGTATAAGGCCTCCAATAACGGGAAATAAAAGATGTGCTGAGCACAAAGGAATGAAGGTAAATGGTGTAGAACATAAGGGTATGAGGGTTAAAAAGCCCATTTCTGAGCAATTAGGAAAAATACCAAGTGTATTTGCAGGTCCAGCTACCAAAATTAGCAGTGAGAAAATGCATTGGAATATAGACATTCCATCAGTCAACCATTCTCCAGCTTGTGGAGCAACATCGCTTAATGGTTCCTTTTGCAGAAGGAAACTTTCGGAAGGTAATAAAAGATGTTGGCAGCACAAAGGAGCAGAAATACCAAGTGTATTTGCAGGTCCATCAGTCAACCATTCTCCAGCTTGTGGAGCAACATTGCTTAATGGTTCCTTTTGCAGAAGGAAACCTTCGGAAGGTAATAAAAGATGTTGGCAGCACAAAGGCAGGAAGAGCTGAAGTAGGACCTCCACGACCTGCATATTGTAGTTTCATCTGAGAGAATTATTAATCAAGTTGTGGTGAACCCTTACGCTGTGGTTCCTATAGTGAAAGGTCACCGCACTCAAAGGTGCATCCTAGTTGTTAATGAAGTTGGGTTGAGGATTATGAGCAGGGGCGGCCTAAGGGCAAGGCAATGAAGCTAAGCAACATTGCTTAATGGTTCCTTTTGCAGAAGGAAACTTTCGGAAGGTAATAAAAGATGTTGGCAGCACAAAGGAGCAGAAATACCAAGTGTATTTGCAGGTCCATCAGTCAACCATTCTCCAGCTTGTGGAGCAACATTGCTTAATGGTTCCTTTTGCAGAAGGAAACCTTCGGAAGGTAATAAAAGATGTTGGCAGCACAAAGGCAGGAAGAGCTGAAGTAGGACCTCCACGACCTGCATATTGTAGTTTCATCTGAGAGAATTATTAATCAAGTTGTGGTGAACCCTTACGCTGTGGTTCCTATAGTGAAAGGTCACCCCACTCAAAGGTGCATCCTAGTTGTTAATGAAGTTGCGTTGAGGATTATGAGCAGGGGCGGCCTAAGGGCAAGGCAATGAAGCTATTGCCTTATGCCCCAAATATTAAGGGCCTCAATTTTAAGTACTATGTGTCACATATATTTTATGTAATTATTATTAATAAAATATGTAAAAAGTTTTAATTAAAGTTATACGGTTGAGTGACAGATAACGATAAATTTCTCTCATTTAATTAAATAAATGATGCATTTACCTTCATTATCAAATTTAGTTTTTTCTCTCTATGTACACTCATATTTTCTTTTAATGTTTGTAGTGATTTTACTTTCTAATTTTAACTCAGTTTCTCCGATTGACTATTTCTTATCACCATATTTTATTTGTCCATCTATTAGAAAACAATTTTTTTTTTCACCTTCTTAAGAGAAGTCCGCAAATGCAATTGGGCGCAAGGTTCCAAAGTCGACCAATTTCTTTCACTATGTCATATTTTTATTTATGACAAAGTTTCAAACCGTGACGTGCACCTAATACGCATATCACACGTTGTACACTTATCGCTAGACCAAAGTTCTAGGAGTTTGCTTTGTATCTCATTATTATATAAATTGTACAAAAGAAATTTAAGGGTCTTTTAATATATTTTGGCTTTAGGCCACAAAATTTGTTGAGCCATCCCTGATTATGAGAGGCTAGGTTTCAAATCTCAGTAGAGGAAACAATATCTAGGTGATGGGCACAATTACCCTGGAAATATACTGATGGGAGAATGCAGGTACTGGGTGGATTAGTTGAGGTGTTCCGAAGCTGTCCCTTATACAATAGTCATTAAAAAGAAAATGGAAAAGGGCCATATATGTCCCTCTACTAATTAAAATAGGTCATATGTGTCCCCATTATACTATTCAATTGAAAAAGTCCCTACCGTTTGTGCGCAGAAATTTTTAAAAGGTCCCTCCGCCGTCTACTCCTAAATTTAAAATAAAAATATCCACGTGTTAGTCTTTTATTAGATAAACTAAACCCACCCCTTAGTTTTTAACTGACCCACCGACCAGCTCAGTTTATCCGAGCCACCCGATCTTTTAATTAAAAAAGAGCCCAAACACATCTCTCATTCCCTTGATAGGTTACAAGTATTTGGTCATATGTACTTAGCTTTATGTTTTGATGATCTAACAAACTTACTATCCAAAACCAGATAAGGAACCTGTTACACATTTACAAGACCTTAGGATCACAAGGTTCCAGGTTGAGATTCAGCATGGGCTATGATTCAACTCTTCAGAGTGGAAGGAACATCTGAGGGAACAGGTCCCTACCAGTTCCCGAGGAGACTGTGCGAAGTCAACTCTCCAGCTGGAAAGTTGCTGCCTGCACACGCTATAGTGCTGGAACAGTGCTGCGGTCAACTTTCCAGGGAAGACTTTTTACCTACCTTGCTTACATCATTGTAAGTGATGTCACACATGTATATACAATCAAGGAAGGTAAAACATATTTACTTGAACACTTAGAGATTTCATTCAAGCTCACTCACGTGACCATTCAGCAAGCAAGTTTCAAGTGCTTCAAGAACAAAGAACAAAGCAACTACGGACCAATTCCCACATCGAGTCATTGTATGTCCTTAGTTGAGTTGCAACTTTGTAATAGTTTTTCAATTGTAATTCCTATCTAGCTTGTTTAGAACCATTCTATAGGAACCCCTTTGTAAACCTTAAACCAGTGTGTTTGAGTCTTGGCTAGAGTTAGTCATGTTGTAAAGTCTTTGTAATAGAGTTATTACAAAGTGGCTTGTAATAGAGTATTACAAGTTAGTGAGGGATTAGGAGGTTAATTAATTCCTAGGTTGCATAGGTTGTAATCTAAAAATTGCTCAGTAGTGAAGTTGAAATCCTACAAGGGTAGGTCGTGGTTTTTAATCCTGTTGAGCTGGGAATTTTCCATGTAAAATTCCTCTTGCCATTTAATAACTGCTGTGTATGTGTACTGTTGAACCTGATAGAGAACCTAGTTCTCTATAGGATTTGGTGGACCCTTATATTCTATCAATTGGTATCAGACCAGGTTCTTTCTATCAGGTTAACAACTAGAAAGGTTCCTCATGGCTGCTCCTCCAAACTTCGAAGAAGGTAGTCTACTTACAGACCACCTAGGTTCAATGGATAATATTATGAATGGTGGAAAACTAGAATGCATGACTTCATCATGGCTGAAGATTCTAAGCTAGGGATGTCATATGTGATAGACCCTTTGTCCCTACCAAAAACCTTGGAGACCCACCTGTAGCCATTCCCAAGACAAGGAAAGAATTCAATGATGCGGATAGAAAGGCCATAGAGAAGAACTTTCGTGCAAAGAAAATTCTGGTGTGTGGTATTGGTCCTGATGAATACAACAGGATATCAGCATGTCAGTCAGCCAAAGAAATCTGGGAAGCTCTTCAGACAGCTCACGAAGGAACAACACAGGTCAAGCAATCCAAAATCGACAAGCTCACAATTGAATACGAGCTCTTCAGGATGCAAGATGATGAATCTGTCCAAGAAATGCATACCCGGTTCACCTCCATCATTAATGAGCTTCACTCCCTTGGTGAAACTATTCCAAGAAACAAGCTTGGTTAGAAAAATCCTCAGTGTGCTGCCCTGTTCTTGGGAAAGCAAAGTGAACGCCATTACAGAGGCGAAGGACTTGCAGGAGCTAACTATTGATGAGCTTGCTGGCAATCTAAAAACATATGAAATGAAGAAGAAGAATGATAGTGAAAGAAGAGAGCCCAAGAGGGAGAAGAACCTGTTCCTCAAGACAGAAAACAATGACTCAAGTGGTGAGGATGCTGATGTGGCATACCTAACAAGAAGATTCCAGAAGCTGGTTCTCAGGAATTGAGGCATTCCAAAAAGGGGAAGTTCTAGCAAGCCATAGAATTATGACCTCTGTCATAAATGTGTCAAACCAGGACACTTCATCACGGATTTCCCTCTCCTAAAGCAGGATCAGTACTGTCACGACCCAAAATCCATTAAGGTCATGATGGCGCCGTACACTACTGTCAGGCTAGTCAACACTAAATAGTTAATTAAATTCTCTTTTTATATTTTTGAAATCTTAAGTTTTCTTCAATTCCACTAGTGACAGATGAACTTTATTAAATAAATAATGATGTTTTCCGATTTCAACACTGAATATCCCATAATCACTCCAGAACTCGATGTCACAAGTTCATGAGCAATCACTAGGAAATAAAATGAAGTACAATAACTGTACGGAATACAAATTTGGACAGAAAAGAAAATACAATACTCGAAGGAGACTTTGCTGGCTGCGGGTCGTCTCGAGAGATGCAACTCACCTAAGTCTCCGTATCAACCATGCCGCTGCGCCCACTAGGCCACTAGACATACATGTACCTGTGCAACAAAAATGCATACGAAAACAACGCGTACCCAGTAAGTATCCAGTCTAACCTCGAAGAAGTAGTGACGAGAGGTCGACTTCGACACTTACTAGTGGTCCAATAATATCAGATACAGTAAAGAAGTGAATAAATACGAAACAGAGTAAATATATGATATAAACATGCATAAAATACGGGGTACAATTCTCCTCTTTACAATTTTACTCAAGCTCTCAACTAGCAGGTTCCCTCCGTAACCGGAGCATATATATATAGATATAGTGGATATCATCAAGAGGTTGTCATAATTCAATCAGGGAAAAACCCTCAGATACACTGTCTTCTAGCCAAATGTTACGCACGATTCCATGTGAATAATATATATAGGAAATGCCGAGGCATACGGCCCGATCCAACATAAAAGTAAATTGTGCACTGCCGAGGGTCCAATGGCGTGAACCATAGATGCATCTATTAACCTACCGAGGCGAACGGCCCGCTCCCATGAGCGTAGTAGAGGAAATATCCTGCTCGCGAATCATACGCGCGACGCGGTCAAATATAAATTTAAGAAATCGCCCCGCTCGCGGATCATACTTGCGATGCGGTCAAATATAAATTTTACATTAAAATCATGTCTCTTTCTTGATTCTTTTCAAAATAAGGGAAATTTAGCTTGTAGCATTTTAAGGAAATTACCCCGCTTGCGAAACATACATGCGACGCGGTTACACATAGATTTTCTAAGCTATTATAATATTCCTCAATTCCTTTTGAAATTACGAAGTTCAAATGAAACCTTTTAAATCTTATATTCTTCAATTTCACTCCTTTCAAAACATTTAATAAGCAAACTCAATCTCGCTCCCTCTCAAGGCAAACAATAACCATAAATCAATAACAATATCAACAAGGCATGATGTGAGCCTAAAACTACCCGGACATAAGCATAGCTAGTAGCTACGTACGGACTCTCGTCACCTCGTGCGTACGTAGTCCTCACAAATATAAGCACATAATAATTTAGTTCACCTATGGGGTTAATTCCCTCTTACAAGGTTAGAAAGGAGACTTACCTCGCTCCGAAGTTTCATAACCGGCTCTCAACCCCTTCCGACGACTCAAACCGATGCCCAACGCTCCAAAACTAGTCGATAATTATGAAAACCCATTAATATATACTCAAATACTCATTATAATCCTATTTACAACAATTCCCAACTCCGTTTGAAAAATCGGTAAATTCACCCTCGGGCCCACGTGCCTGGATTCTGAATATTTTCGAAGATAAACTTTTCCCATAAAATCACGAACTCAAATATATAATTTATTCTCAATTCCATGTCCAAAATTCATTGTCAAAATCCAAATGCACAAGATTCTAGGTTTTTCCATCAAAACCTCAATTTCTACTAATTTCCATGTTCAAATCCATATAAACTAATTTATTGAACTCAAAATTGTGAAGAAGACACTTACCCCATTATGATTGATGAAGATGGCACTCCAATGTGCTCCAAAATCGGCTCCCATGGGCGAAATGAAATGAGATAGAGACAAACCCTCGTTTTAAAGAAGACACTGCCCAGCCCCGACTTTCGCGCTTGCGGTCACTTGACCGCTTCTGCGGTTTCGCAGGTGCGGCCCAACTACCGCTTTTGCGGCTCTATGTGCGCAGGTGCGGTCCCGTTTCTGTGGAACTCGACCGCATTTGCGGTCCACGCCTCCCCCAGCAAAAATCCACTTCTGCGAGTCCTTTCTCGCACCAGCGGGCTCGCACCTGCGTCCCCTTCATGCAGGTGTGATTACACCAGATGCCCAACTGCTTCAGCCCTTCCCCAAATTCCATTTTCGATCCGTTAA